AGTCTGTGATAGTGTCATTGTCACAGAGATTCCCTCATTACGATTCCATTGTGTGTTTAATGTTGAATGCACGCTATAGACAGATAACACTCGAAAAAACATTGTAAATCATTCATTATAGTCTTCCATGTGCATTTCCAGTCTCCAGTTTCATTTAACATAATGAGATTAGGAACATCATAATAAAAGACGTTTTAGTCAATGGTTATTATGGTAGATTTTTGGTGTGCATCGGGATAACTGACCCACTGAAAACCATTACTTCTACTTATGCACAAGAAGTGGGCCTTTACTTGATTTTTGTTTATACGTTGCTAGTATTTAATATCAAACGTATGTTCATCTGAATTATTCTGCTCTATAACATTATGATTAGTGTATAGCACCAGTAATTATAGTAGGTTCATTGAACAGGCAACATATCCTTATAGGAAGGAGCAACACCCCCCAAAGTTGTAGATGTCAATCCTCTTTATTACTATACAAATGCACAAAAGCATTCCATGCCATATCACCTCAGAATATGTTGCTAGTGATATCTTTGATGCATTCTCTGCTGCTTCTTAGTTGCAGAAGCAGTATGGGCAGCGCGCCAGGCAGTACAGTGAGCCGCGGTACCTCTCCACTTGCCTACCTCAGACGAAGAAATAGCGGAAATTCTGAGGGCTAACACCTGCTCTCAGAGGGCACTCAGACAAACGAGCCAAAGCATGGATATTACAGGGTAAAGATTTGCTTTCATTCCATGAAAATGTACTTTCCCGTGTTATTTAATTTATTTAGTGGTTTTGATCCTGTCCGCTCACCTTTATTTTTCCATTTCCTTGCTTAACCTACCACTAATTGCGTTTGGTTCTGAAAGCTTACAAATTTAATGGATTTCCTGTAGCGTAGTTTTTAAGTTATCCTCAAGTTTCATGTGTAGATCTACAGTCGATACATTATAAATTGCAGATTGATCACGTATTACTCATTTTGTGTCTTCCTTTGCCAAACAATCTCATTTTTTGTCGGGTCAGTGTTGTTTCTCCATGTGGCAACCATTAAGTATGCTCTGATCGATTGCCTTTCAAAGTTGGCAGACTCTTCATCACACCCTGGTGTGTGTTTTTTGTAAAAATTGCCGCCCTCATATAATCACAGGTAATCTACATGCTGTATGATCTAGGGTGTTACGCGCTTCGTCCATGCAAACCTGTATCGACGCTCTCTCGTCTTGCAGGAGCCGCCACCACCGCCGCGTCTCACTCGCCAAAGACTGCGAGGGGCTCGCGGAGGCACCGCAGCCACAGCACAGAGCAGCTGTACGACCGCCATGGCGCCCCCTACCAGTCGGAACGCGAGCAGCTCGCCCGCCAAGAGTCCGCGCAAGAGCATGCAGCGCGCCCATCCGCAACGAACTTGACCTCCGATCAGCAGCAGCAGCATCATCGGCATCATCGCCGCGCAGCGACCGCAGGCCGGCGACCGCGACAACAGGTCGCCGCGCGACGGGAGGCAGGGCGCCACGAAGTTTCAAGGTCGAGGTTGCACGAGTACCAGCGCGGCGAGCGGCCTCAGTCGAAACCCGGCCGCCGCCAAACGAGGGCGAGGTTCGCTTCGACCCGCATGCTCTCAGGAGAGCGCTGACGCCGGACCTTGTTGCAAAAAAGTTATTTTTTATTTTTATTTTTTAATTAAAAATGACCATAATAATCTAGAGATATCTGAACCTATATATCCGGATTAAATATGCACTTAGAAACTTATTTTTATAAAAATCTCATTTTTGTCCAGGTAGGCCATTTTCAGCATTGACATGTGTGCGTGCTCATTACTCAAAACAATGACTTGCGACTTAATTAGTCCGTATTATGCTGGAGCGGGTCACATATTTACTTCCCAGCAGTATTCAAGCAGTTCCCCTTCTCTCATTATTCAACAATTTTCTCATTATACGCAATACATAGTTTGCGACGAGTTTCCTTCTGTGACAATACTGCGGGCATGCACTCACCTCGAGCCTGCTCAGGAACTCAGCAAAGATGCCGAATATCTGCTCAGTGGTGACCTTCTTCATGTCTTCGCCAAAGTAGCGCACCATGGAGTGAAAGTCGTCCATGCATGATGCCTGGTGGCTGAAGAGTGCCTGCAGACAGTCGGATGCCTCAGCAATGAAGTGCTGTGTGCGGCCACCGTCAAGGTCACGCAAACGAGAATGTTATCTTGTCATTATTGCATCACACTGTAGATCAGTCATTATCGCACGTTCTTACCCATTTTCTAATTATTTATTTTTGTGGGTATTCCCTTATTATTGTATTTGTTCCTGAATCACTTTTTCGACCCGTAATAAAGTCGCCAAAAATACAAAAAATGAAAAGATATTTGAAAATCATTGTTACTATTACAATCCTTGTTACTATTACAATCATTGTTATTACTATTACAATCATTACATCATTACTATTACATCATTACTATTACAATCATTGTTACTATTACAATCCTTGTTACTAAATTTTTGTGTTGATATGCGTCACAGCAAAGGATACGCCCATGACGTCACGGAACTTGTCGATGACGCCAGTTGGAGGGCTGACCTTGAGGTTACTTAAGTCGGCCATGATGCTTGAGACCTCCTGCAGCATTCGGCGCAGTTCAGTCAGCTCATCTTGCAAGTCTCTACTTGACACTGCGATGGAAGAATGCAGTCCGCACATTCAGATATTAGACTATTTGTAGCTAGCTAACCCACAAATCCGTACATGTCATGTTGCAGTAGAGAACTATCAAACGTTTAGCTGTTTGTCTCCGTGTACATTTAGTAACTTCGTCCATTTGTACATTTGCATTGCTACAAGAATAGCTTCCAGTATTGCAAACGTGCCTGCCGTATACTGGTATGCTGCGGGTTCAGGTTTGACAAATTCAGACCTCCCAATGTGATTTTTGAATCCCTTCCCACATTCCAAATATCAACATTGCCACTCCAATGTCCAGCTATTTAGATTTGTGCCGCCATTGTAAACATCCCATGGATGGATGGACGGACGAACAAACGAACAACGGATGCCGGCGCCATGGCGTGAGCAAAATCAAACTACCACTCAGATGAGCTAAAAACTGAAGCTCATATACACGTTAAACAGGTTGTGGAGCTATTTCCATTTTCACTTGCAAGTGACTGATGATTCAGTATGCAGTACGACAGTTCTACACGCTCCATGCAGAACAAACACACAATAAAGATAGGTGGCATGCACTCACCCTTTGCGACCTTCGACAAGGTCGGTAGCTGGTCGCTCATGCTGGCGCACTCTGGGAAGTTGGCTTGCACCGTGTGCACCACTTTCTGCATCATGGCAGCACGACTGTCAGTACTGCTGTACATCTGGCAATGTGAGGAGTTTGTATGAGTTTGATGAGTTTGATGTGATAAGTTTGATGTGATGAGTTTGATGTGATAAGGCAATGTGAGGAGTTTGTAAATGAGATATGCTAGTACCCACACGCCACAGCTCGTCATATTCAGGAACGGTTAGCGATCAGAGGTCAAATGACGGCCAGCATCGTAAGCTTGCGCCGTTCAATCACAGATGCTACATGTGTTATTTTATACTCTTGATGGTCATGCAATCTGTACAAGCGCATCTAATGCTTATACAAGTGGGTGCTTAAACAGTTAAACAGGTATATAAGGGTCATTCAAGGAAAACTAAAAAAGCGTCCTACATAGACAGGAGTCTATTCTGAGCAGGATTTACTGTATAACTGCCAATCAAGCATTATCAAGGGTAACCATAGAAGTGTCCTTTATAGACAAACGTCTTTTCTAAACAGGTTTGAGCAAATAAATGCAAATCAAGAGAAGCGCTAACCCAGCATACTAATACAAATTTGACTGTACCCAAATGCACTATACACCTGGGGCCCGTTGTCAGAAAAAAATTAGTCTTAACATTAACCTTAACATTAACTTTTTCTCTTAAAGCGTTGCCAGAAACTTCGTAAAGTTTAGAGAATTAAAAATTCTTGTAACTTTTCTCTTAACTTAAGAGATCCTAGACCCTCCCTTAACTTTAATATTAAGTTGAAAATAACACATTTACACTACAAATTACAATTATAGTGATATTATATTTTATAATAATGAATAAAATGTGTGTTTTTCTTGAAAAACACGTCAAAACCATTAATTATCTACCGCTAATAAAACAAAACAATACATTTACAAATGACGTATGGCATTTGTTCTCTTGTTTTAAAGGTTTGCAACGCTTGCCACGATTCTCGCGTCTTGCGTTACAGTGTGAGAATTTGTCTTGTTGTGCAGAATAAATTCATGACCACGTAATTTTTCATCAAATATTATTTATATGTGGTTAGCCATCATAATATGCATAAATTACTGTGATGTACAATAAATGTGTATGAATTTGAATTTTGTGATCGATTCTCATCCAATCAGCAGCCTTGTGACATGAAATTATGAAGTTCATGTTATCGTAAGTTTTCACTTAAGTAAGTTTAGTTTAAGTTGGTTTCTGGCAACGCTATTAAAATTAACCTTAACATTAACATTAGACTTAAAATTAATCGTAACTTTACGAAGTTTCTGACAACGGGCCCCTGATAATCAAGTATTGATTAATTGATTGATTGATTAAATTAGTTAAGGCTTTATTATTGTTGTGAATGTGTTGATTATGATCATGATGGCTGTTATCGAAGGAGATTTTGTCAGCACACCTCATAATACAGTGGAACTATAGATGCCGGAAATATCGATCGATTATCTGCTTACACGCGTCAGCATATCCAGTTTGAAGGGTTTGCTGGCTTGCTGACCACCCATTTGGCTCCTCAAGGATAGGATGACCTCCAGCACTCGCGTGACCTTGCTGCTCTTCTTTAATTCCACCGATGCCCTCTTGATGTTTGTGAAATGCTGAGAAAAGGTAAAGGAATCCCTTGTACAACTACACCTTACAACTAATATACGTATGCATAAATTATCAAAATATACTATAATAGGCTGTAAAAAAAAATCATTACGACGTATAGAACAATAGCAGCAAGGATTTTTTATTAGTAAGGCAAACTACTTTACGAAATAAGAAACAAAAGTTTTAGTTCCCACACCGGGAATCGAACCCGGGCCGCGTGGGTGAAAGCCACGAATCCTAACCACTAGACCATGTGGGATACTGTAGTTATACAGGCCCCGCAATCAGGTAGATAGACAATGTGCCTATTCTATTATTACGACTTACACACAAAACACCTGACCAGGAGCACAGTATCTATTACCCTATGACCAGACTTAGGTGTACTTCAATATTACTTTTACATGTAGGCCAATTAATGGACAAAATTAGTTTGGACAAACCCCGCAAATGTGTTTTCGCTATGTGACGACAAAACCCCGCATTGTGCTAAACTAATCCAGGTGCTAAACTAGGGCTCATAGGGGCTATGTCCCTCATAGCTCTAGTACTATAGCCCCCAGGGTATTATTGGAGGGTACCCTGGGTATGGTTCGATATATCGGAACGTACCCTGGTAACTATCTGATATGGTTAGGGTTAGGGTTAGGGAGTAGGCGTAGGCGACTCCCTAGACTCGTTAGTGGAGTAGGCGAGGTACGGTCCGGCATATTAGACACCTTTGCACATCTACCCCATGCTGCACAAACTGCAAAGGCAGTCACAGCGCAGACTATAATAAGTGCCCAGTGTATCTTACCACCAGGAACAAGATTGTCGATCGAGCTGTACACAGATCGTGTAGCAGCACCACCATCCAGCACTAATATTCATGCCCCCCCCTGTATACACCATCACATAGGTGTTTCTTTGGTACAACCTTGATCACTCCTCGCGTTGAAATCACCAGTAAGCACGATTGCGGTAGATGTAGGAATTTTGTCGAGCACACTTTCAAGAACTGTAATGTCTTCTGTATGGCCGGGCGGTATATATATCGATGCAACCAGCGTTCTCTGATTACCGATACACGTCTCTATCCAAATCGCCTCGAGGAGATCTGTCTCTAGGTCTTTCCTGTGTACCGCCTTCACTCCTTTGTTTGTCAGAATTGCCACACCGCCTTTGTTGTTGTGTTTCCTGTTCTTCCAATAATGAGTGTAGTTCTTTATTTTCGGGGTATCATCCTTATTCCACGTCTCGGACAGACAGATTACATCAAATCTGGTTGTTTCTGCGTAGTCCTCTATGTAGCTTTTGGATGTAGATAACGCCCTGGTGTTAAGCTGGAGAATCTTCATGCTTGTTGGGATACAGGACAGAAAGTTTGCTCTCAGGAGAGCGCTGACGCCGGACCTTGTTGCCACGCCTACGCCAAGCAGGGAGAGCCGCAGGAGTCGGCGCCACCTGGTGAACAATGGCGACGTGCCGCTGGGCGTCAGGGAGAGGTCGCTGAGCGTCGTCCCGCGAGGTCCCGTCACCGCTCGAACCGGACTACTAACATTCCCGCGGAATTCCATTTTCACATGGAACGGAGGTCGAGCCCGCGAGTTTGCGGCGCCCCCTAGGAGCGAGTTGTTTCAGGAGTTCGTCGCTGCGGGGTGCGCATCCGTATCGTGCGCACAGTGCACAGGACCGTGAGTGGCGTCAACCCCACGAGGTGGCCGTCGGAATTTTGCGCCACAGATGAACGGCTGGGACAACTGCGAGCTGTGCATACAGACAGCCGCTAAGCAACAAGCAGGACCGCCATATCGCGGGTTCGTTCGAGTTGGTGGACGGTGGCCGGACTGAGGTTAATCAGACCCAGTATCCGCCGCCGCATCAAAATTTCCATCCTCTTCAGCAGTATCCCAGCCTCACTATCCTCAGAGTTCGTATCCTCAGTACATGCAGCAGCAGCAGCACAGCAGCAGCAGCAGCAGCAGCAGCAGCAATACCAGCCGTCCGTAACGCCGCTCAATGCCAACCCTTCCAACCTATCGCGGCTGCCGACCGGTGCGCACATCCTTGACGCTGGCGCCCTCTACGACAGAACCGCCAATACGGTGTGCCGCCGCAGTTCGTTCGGGAAGTTTCAGTGGGATGCTAGCTCAGGATTACACCAACGAGGAAGCTGGGCGCGTTTGCTAGCGAACGCGCTGCCACCACGCCGCACCGCTGCAGCTTGCGCAGGCGCGCACGTTACAGGAGCATACCAGTCGCCCTACGACGATCTGGGCACTTAAAAACGCGCTACGAAGTTCCATTGCAGGTCCCCATTGAGCCGCAGGGATTCGCGACGCCACCACCGGAATATCGAGGGGACGAGGATCGAGCGGAGACGGTGTTCTCGATCGGATTGCGCGAAACCAGGAGCAGGCTCACCACGAGGACAGTCACCACCGTTTCCACGCCGCGCGCCGGCCGCCTATTCCGATCGTCGCGACGACCTGTTCTCTGCGGCGCATCATTGGCCAGCACGACCCGCACTACTCACACACCGACGACGGATTCCAGCTACAAGAGTGTTCCCACCGTTCCGCGGCGGTGCGATGCAGCGACCACCGCCTCCGCCACCGCTGCCGCCGACGGCGGGGCATTGCTTTGATCGCGGGCAGTCGAGCTTGACTCGTGTGGAGCAGGTGTGAGAGGCCCGGTGCGTTCATCGTAGCCGAGGCTGCTCTCGTAACGTGCACGCTACGAACACTCGTGCGTGCATTCGCTTGTGTCTCGCCGGCTATGGTCTCAGTGTTGTGGTTATGTCTCAGGTTGTTTGTGTTGTTGTTGTTGTTGTTTTGTTGTTGTGCTTGCTTGCTGCTGCTGCCTGCTGCTGCTCTGCTGCTGCTGTTATATCTACTCTCCTCTACTGCATGTGTCATCATCTATCGTCATCATCTGCTGATTGTGTCTGCATTGTTTTAATTCACATTTCCGTCTCTGCTCCCCTCCTTATTCTTCCGGCACAGTTGAATTCAGAACTTTCAGCTATAGGTGAGACTGATCCAGTCTGGATGGGAAGTGAGCCGCATGCGAGCATCCCGCTGATCGGCGGTCATC